GTTAAGTTTCCATAAAGTATTTTATTTAAAAATTCTTGACAAAATGATGAATTGATATCAGTTCGCAATCCCCACATTCCTGCTAGCATAGGAACATCATGATCTGGATGATCGCGCATGGCATGAAATGATTTATTTGTCAATAACCATTGTTGAACAGCGGCGAGTTCTCGATATGTTAGAAGTGAATCTAAATCTCGACTATTTATTATTTTCACAAATACATCACCAACTGGTAAAAATCGCCATATTTTTGGTGGAATAGTTTCAGTTAAATCATTATATTTTAACAGTGAACTAACATTACAAAAGTCAACATTGTAATGTTTACACTCTATTGAACAGGCGATGGACGAAACAATTGTAGAATCATGATAAACGCGTAATATCCAATCGGGATAAATTGTATACATATCAGATATGAGATCATTCAATAAATCAATTGTTTTATCAAGCGAAAATCTTGCACTCTCTTTTGGTCCAAATAAACTAATTGATATAATTTTCTGATTCGGACCACGTATCGTAGAGTATTCGTTGCATAGTGATGTTTTACTTGGATCTTGACGATGATATGACCGTGTTATTTTTCTCGTACAATTACAATTTAATCTTTTGTAGAAGAAAGATTCATTAGTATCGTTCTTACCTATAGTTAACGGTCTGAAAAAATGAACTTTTTCAAATATCCATATTGTTCCACAAACATTTAATACGATTGATAAAATTACGATAATGTTTCGAATAGCTTTTGATTGTCGCATAGATCTTCATTAACAGTAGATTAGAATACAATACCAATAACCTTCTTAAGTGAATAATAATATAAAATATAAGGTGCACGTAATTCGAAGTTTCCACATCATTTTATTTTTAATTCAAACACACATATAGCTGGATAGTCAGGAAGCCAAGGATCACGAACAGGCAAACAAGATAACATTCGGAATCAGTGTGAAAAATTCAATACAGAACACTACCTTTTATGATTCCAGCCTTACACTGTGGTTTTGGGCGAAATTTTTTATGAAAGAGTCTCAAACTGCGAGAAGTCATCTTACAAGCCTATCTCGTCCTTGGGATTACAAGATAGAGCCTTCGTTCTTATGCTCTTGGAAGCGCCTTGACACGCAGAATAAAAGTACGTTCTCTGTTTTCAAAATTCCTTTTCGTTGCTGAGAAAAGTGGACTCTATTGGGAAAAATGGAAATTCTGACAGTAATTCGCAATTTTCTCCGTCAGAACTTAACTTTATAAAATAAATATCATATTTGGAATCAGCGTCAAAAATTGAGTCGAATGATATATATTTCAAAATTTTTCATTGTTTTTTATTTTTTTATGAAAATCTCAGTAATTCTTCGACGCGAAAATTCAAAAAAAATTAAGTTGATCGAATAGGATAAAGAAGCACATCATTCGACTCAACTTTTGACGCTGACTCCAAATATGATATTTATTTTATAAAGTTAAGTTCTGACGGAGAAAATTGCGAATTACTGTCAGAATTTCCATTTTTCCCAGTAGAGTCCACTTTTCTCAGCAACGAAAAGGAATTTTTGAAAAACAGAGAACGTACTTTTATTCTGCGTGTCAAGGCGCTTCCAAGAGCATAAGAACGAAGGCTCTATCTTGTAATTCCAAGGACGAGATAGGCTTGTAAGATGACTTCTCGCAGTTTGAGATCCTTTCATAAAACTTCGCCCAAAACCGCAGTGTAGGGCTGGAATCATAAAAGGTAGTGTTCTGTATTGAATTTTTCACACTGATTCCGAATGTTATCTCGTTTGCCTTCCAAAGGTTTGGAGAACTGAGATATTACATTTTTTTGAAAAGTTGTGATTTTTCAGAAAAAGAACACCTCACAATGTTTTTTCTCCATGAAGAAGTGGACCAGAGAGGTTAAAAAGGACATATTTGTGATCCTTGGCTTCCTGACTATCCAGCTATATGTGTGTTTGAATTAAAAATAAAATGATGTGGAACTTCGAATTGCGTGCACCTTACTGACATTCTAATTTTAATAATCAGAAACTTATCACTGATAATCTTCCAGAAAGGAAATTGGTTTCTTACCCTGTCAAAAAAAATGTCTCGATAAACCATCTTGATGGCTTCAAAATGCACTCATGGTACGTAATGAAGGCATGCTAGATGCATTTTTCCATCTGTTTTACTGTTAGTCGCCTAGATGTCTTAACAAAACATGTTTAGATCGTTGTCTTTTTCTGATAAAAATAACCTATGATTTAAAAGTAATTGAACAAATGTCGAGTATTATTTCTACGTGTTCCTGATGTACTGGTAAGTTAATTATTTTTCCGTTGGAAAGAGCAACGTCTGAAGTTCAACAAACCTAGAAAACCAAACTTTTAGTGATTGAGTTTGAGTGAGAAAAGCTTTGAACCTGAAACATCATCAAATAAGCTTTTGTACAGTGCCTTTTTCTTTATTTCTTCACTGTAGCCTAAAAGAGAAAGCTTTTCTGAAAGCCAAATAGATGAGAATGTCGCTCGCGCAAAACTCTATCGATCCTTCTACTTTCGACAATCTTCCAGTAATTCGTTGGTAGTAATAGTAGTCCAACAGTAACGATTAATGTGTTCTAAAACTAATGAAAACTGTGATAAATTCTGGTTGAACGATGGATCGAAAGATAACTGAAAAGAGAGATCAAAATACTTCTGGTTTCTATAACTGCATAATTTCAAACGTTCTCTGTTATTCGAAAATAATACATTTGATGAGAGAGATGGTTATGAGACGGCAGAAGTTACAAGAGCTTTTCTCGTAACCTTTGGTATTTAAATTTTTTCTCATTCAAACGCAACCATTACAAGTTTGCTTTTCAATGTTTTTTGAAGTTCAGACGTTACTCTTCCAACGGAAAAAGAATTAACTGTCCAACACGTCAGAAACTTGTAGAAATAATGCTCGACATTTGTCCAATTACTTCTGAATCGTAAGTTAGCTTAGGTGGTTTCAATTGACATTACTAATGCATCAAAAAGACACAAAGCGCCAGCTACAGCCAAGACATTTAGCCACCCATAAAGTACGGATAATTCATGTAGTCACATTTAATGCCGTTTTCGTATTTTCTATGGCACTTTTTGACACAAGATCGTAGAAACTTGATCAGCATCTCATTTTGTGGAGAATTGAAGGGGCTGTCCAATGATATGGTTGAAAAACTTTAAAAAAATATAAGAACAGCTATTATCTTTTTTTCTTCTCTTTCCTTTCGATTGGTTGTGCGTATATTTATCGTTCTACAAGTTCGATCAAAGCCGCCGGAAAATGACGAAGATGCATTTTTCCGCTGCGAGGGTAAAATGACTATAACTTTTTTTCTAGAAGAGCTAGAGACTTGCGGTTTTCACGATTTGGTTTAGCTTGCTAAGCTCAATAATATGAGGTAGGTCTCGTTACTATGGGACATAACAAAAAAGAAAAACTTTTATGTTATCATGGAAATATTCATCCATCTTTTGGCCCAAATGATAGTACCCGAGATGAGTTTAGGCGATACTCACGTTATAGTTCAAGAAATAAAATTAATTGAAGATTATCTATTTCTACTTTTTATCCCAACTGATACAAAAAATGTTCAGAATTAGTGAATGGCAAGCTAATTCTAGAATAGATATGTCTAGGTTTGAAATATCGGGCTACCAGTACCACTGTTCACGAAAAAGTTTAGTGTCCTATGCCAGTATACATCTACACTTTGATGAAAAGAAGTGTTCTACTGAGAACTTTTTTATCCAATCACAAAATGTTGGTCAAACAGGCGGAAAGTCTCTTTGACCAAAAGACAATATTGGAGATTATTGTCTTTGACTACTGTCCCATAGTCTATTGAATAGTGCATAAAAGGAAAAGAATGAAGATAAGATCAAAAGTAAGGAAAGTAGAAGCGGTACCTTTGTTCTCTGCAGAAAAACAAGCAATGCAAAAGAAAAACAAGAGAATAGAACAGCAAATACCACCCGAAATAATCTCACGGCTAAGAAGATGTCATCGAACCAGAAAAAATAGAGACAAAGCGTGATGGTTCTCGAAGATGTTTTGAGATAGATGTCTGTCGAAACAATTTCCGCATGAATGTCCTTTGATATTTTGCAATGAATAGAAACTCAATCAATTATTCACTATTTTTATCGTGTCTTGTTCCTGCTTTGCCCGTTTCTTCGTTTTCCACTTCTGCACGAACTGTATCAGGCCACCCAATGCTCCGGAGCATATTCCTAGTCCAACAAACATGCCCACTAGCCATGGCGGCCTAGTATTCATATTCATGTACCACATGCACGTGGCCATGCCAATTTGAAATAAAGAATTGGCTATAAAGCTCCACACGACAATACGAATCCAGAGAAGCCTAGTTGTGTATGAATGACGTCGAAGAAGTTTATGGCGATGCTTCGATGTGAGAAGTTGGTAGAGATCGCGTATTCGCCAAGGGATGAGACCTAGGCCAGTGACACAGAAGAGACCGTTTAGTATTTGAGAGTCGATTTCGATCCAGATTTTGCGTGTACTTTCGTCGGGCATGGTCTTGTTTGCGCCGCCTACCAGGATAAGAAACAGCATTCCACCCCAGGCCACAATATTGAGTACATAGATGATGATGAAAGTTATTCGAAACCATTTGAAGAATGAAGAGGCCAGAAACAATTGGCAAGAGTTTTGATCATCCTTCGGTTTGGATACTGATAACTGATCCGGATCGATCGGGATAGAGGTATTATTGTCCACGACAGAGTTGCTAGTCATTGTGTATATTCAGACAGGTGAACTTACGTTTTGAAACTGACGACATTCTATGCTTCTAGAGAAAATTGAGCGAGTAAATATTTAGTTTAGGTTACTCATTCTATGTAAGTTGAATATAAAACAGCTATTATCTTTTTTTCTTCTTTTTCTTTTCGGTTGTTTGTGTGTGTATTTATCGTCATCAACCACGATATTCTTCTGTTCGTATGTTACTGAGTAACTATTTTGCTCTGTACAAGTACGACGCCAAACTAAAAATTGAATGGCAATTATTAATATTAATGAGTTTTCGTACGATATTTGCGTTAGTATAATAGCTGAAAGTTATGAATCTGTGATGCGAACTCGTGCACATCTCTATCTTGGTTGTATCAACATAAACGTTTCCAGTACTAGTTATCTTAAAGACGTTAATAGCTAGAAATGAATATAGGTCGGAAGAGGGATCGTTTTAATAAAGACTAATTTCAAAGTTTTCAACCAATTACCTTTTGGAAATCAAACTTCGATCAATCCTGATTCTGATATTAATATTTCAAATCAGCGGTATTGATTTATGATAGATTGAGAGCGAATGTTTTTGGTTTGCCTCCTCGGCAATAGTCTGAGGTGTACTCTACAATTAGCCTATGCTTCACTAAAAGTCGACTAACACTTGGTAACCTTCCCGGTCACTCAAATTTATGCATGCGCAACCAAACAATTAAAATTGAATTATCTGTCCTTTTCGCGAAACGCGAGCGTATACTGTGCTGATTACAAATCAAGCATGGGCGAGTCCGGACTGGAGATTTTTTCGAAGGACTCGGACTCGAATTTGAGCTTTGTATTTCGAGTCCGACCTATTCAACTTTTAGCACAAATGAATGGAAAAAAATGACAAGCGGAATACCAACACCTTCTGTATCACAAGAAATTGAAAATTTTGTTCAAAAGACGGACATAAAAAGTAACCTTATTTTCGAAAAATCAAATATCTATCCCGGGCTCACTAAATTAAAAAAGAGAAGTAAATCACACTCAAAAAGGAATTTAAAAGATTTCTCTCAATTCCACCCATATCACATTCATTTATTTATTTTAGTTACACATGAAAAAATTCTCGAATCTCGTGATACTTCATAAGTTTCTGTTACAGAGTAAAAAACCTACTGATTTACTTTATCCAACACTTTTTCAACTTCAAGTTTTATTGTCGCATCTTCTTGTAAAATTAGAGCTTATAAATAATTTATATACCAGAGCTGCTGAATCTGCTTGTTTGCTCCGACGGTCGTCGGGGGAAAACTTATTGATTTAGGAAAATCTTTTGACAAACTGAAACATCTTTTTGCAAATATACTGCAAAAAGACATTCTGTTCGTGCATCGAAAAATTTTCCAGTTTCACAGGTAGATTCTGCACCTATGTTATATACTTTCCTATTATGAATTTAGTGATAAGAAAGACAGAAGATGACGGATTTGTTTTTCCATAGTTAACTTTTATCATTTTCTCTCAGTAGATACATGTCAACTATGAAATAAAATGATTCTTTGCGACGTGATCAGCTGAATCACGGTCTAAAAACAAGACTTTAACTGTTTATACTTAAAAGTATAAACAGTTAAAGATCGATGTGAATATTAGTTTTAAAAAACTGTAATAAAAAACAGAAAAATTCTAAGATTATCCGAAAGAATCAGTGTCATATTTGTATTAGTTAAAATCGTGAAACAAAAGGATGAATGATTTGTTGACAATGGGTTGAAAACTGATGACATTTAACGTTAAATATTCGTTTTTTTCCTGATACTAAAACTAAAATTCGCATCGACCTTTAACTGTTTATACTTTTAAGTATAAACAGTTAAAGGCTTGTTTTTAGGCCATGATTCACAGTGAAGTAAAGCGCAAACAACGATGAGTGTTAAAAATCTGCTTTCTGACAGTTTCCAGCCGATTGATTAAAAGT